TTAGGGATGAGTTTTCAAAATTTGTCATATGGTTTATTTTTATTTTTTGCCAATAGTTGATTCAGACTTTTACCAATCGACTAATTCCGATCCCATTGTGATTGTAGTTGTCGAGTAGCCTTTCACCAAATTTTCTAATGAACTTAAATCATGTCATTATTTCGACTAGCCAAATAGAGGTAATTAGATAATTTGTCATTTAGTTGAGTCATGATAACTATATAAGTGATGTTTATTACTCATTAGAGAATCTCATTTATATCGAATTATGGTTAGTTCGTTGAGAGTGGTCAGATTGCTATGGAAAAACAAATCGTAAAGATTAATAAATTGTCAAATCATAAATTTTGGTAACTCTATATATTTACAAAATAAAATTATTTAGTAAACACGAAAATCTTATCCACCTACTAAAAAAACCACCATGGTCCATGAGCACTTTCATATGAAACATTACCGCGACAGTAAACCGATCTTTAGAGCATCATTATTGGTGGTATGCTAATATTGGCTCTTAGCATTAGTTTAATATTAAATTTGTAAAGTTTAGAGTTAAGAGATTGTTTGGTGGTTTAAAATTTTATGTGTCTCCAATGGTAGTTTCTTAACTTGTGGTTCTTAGAAAGAAAAATATTAATTTTAAAAAGAAATAAATTAACAATTTTAATTTTAGAAAACTTAATAATTGTTGCAAATGAAAACTTGGTTTTTGAAGTTTAAATGTTTTGGTTCTTAAAAATTGTAAGTGTTTTGGTTAAATTTGAAGTGATTTGGTTAAATTTTTTGGTTCTCAAAAGTGTTCTTAAAGATTTGGTTACAACACATATAGCAAAGAAAGAGTGTTTTGATGAGATGGAGAGAAGTGTTTGTGTTTTTTGTAAAACAAAAGTGTTGTATATATGGAAAAAATAAAGAGTTCAGGTACAAGATCATAAACTAGGAAAAGAACACAAATACATCATATAAAAATAATGTTTTGTACTTTGTAGTGTGCAATCATTCAAACAATCACAAAACATATCAAGTTGACGATGGGAAGAAGCAGCAAGCAGAAATTTTCCATTTGTGTAGAAACAGGTTTGCATCCAAGTCCTTGAAATCCATGCTTGATGTGCATGAAGAACACTCGATCAATGCACAACACCTTAGTTAAGGCACATCCATCTTCTGTTTTGACAAGGAGGCTCAATAATAGGTAACATTATGGCACCAACTTCACAAACATAGTGAAAGCACAACAATTCAAGACCATAGTCATCATTGCCATGAACCAGAATAACCAAAACATTGGTCCTACTTGATTGTATCTCCCCATGTCTTAGAACAGATCCAGATGAATCAAATTCTTGATAACCATCAAACCAACAACACCTAACTAACTCCATCGCCAAAAGACTCCAAGAAGCCATCCTTTGACAGCAGCTGCACAGCAGCCCATGATTAAACTATATAATTGGACCAAATCTAACCATAAGATGTCTCTATAAGACCCATTACTATATTCCAAGCTAAACATACGAACAGAGAGAAAAATTCATCCTTTAAGAGGAATCAATGTTGGACTCTTTAACGAATCCATGACCACAAATCTTTGAACATCCTAAGTCAAAAGCAAAAATATTCACTAGATAACATGATTATAGATTGAGTAACACTGATACACAACTGAGAATTTCAAGAGAAACATGATCACAATCATGAGACATATCAAAGCATAATCAGTCCAACACAATTGAGGAAAAGAGAAACCTTTATCATATTCTCACGTTAATCGGTGGTCGAGAAAACTCTTCCTCCATGATCTTCAACAATCCTCTATCTGAAACAAAGAAGAAAGACCCAAATCAAGATACTATATCCTATCTCATTTTCTGCATTTAGAACATTAATTCTTTCTATAGACATTGGATTACTGAAAACTGAAGAATTTTGCATAATCACAATCAAACTATTCCAGATTACATTGGATTACTAAAGAGTCGACGCTTATTAGTTGTGTTACTCCGATGATCTTTGCTAGTATTTCGTCGGAGTGATAATTCAACCATACGACGGCGACGAGAACCATATGTAGCAAAGATCCAAATTCAATCAAACGATTTTCTCTCATCCATTAACCACACCGCACTGATCGATCATCATAGTCGGAGCAAAAAGGTCTTTGACGATTGAATTCCCGAATCCGATCAATTGAAGAGATTGTGGAGATGATGACTATGGCTTCACGAACTCAAACACACCATAACTTCACACGTATTTTAAGACCCAAACAACGGAATCGAAGAAATTTCTCTGGTTTGCTCGAAATCGCAAGAGAGAAGAATCGAGAAAGCTTTCACAGAGAAAAAGAAAAAATGAAAAACATGCTTTTTTGGTCGTCGGATCCTTTGGCGTCGGCAAACACCGCCACGTGGACGTCTCTTAGCAATAGTTTTGTCTCTTAAGTAAGAGACGTTCCTTAGTTATAAATGATATATCTGATTTAATTTAATTCTGCATTTAAGCTAAGATCACCTTAAGAGACTAGCGTTAATGATGCTCTTAGACCCGGAAAACAAAATTTTGAAAATTACACGACTTACCTAATATGAATGATTGTTCATTGATAAGATTTGGAGATGGCTCGAGCTCATATAAACTAAGCCACGCGCTGATGTCGAAAAACTTTATTAAAATCTAGTAGCTAATAATTGCTTACTCACGCGGCCGTTTTGTCCCCGTACGCGGATTAAAGTACTAAATTATGTTTAAAAAAGACTGAAACTGAAACTAAAATCTCCAGCCAGCATATGATTTTGTGGACAAAATGTTTACTTAAGATAATCTACTTTTTGGTGGACAATTATGCATAGAACATATGTAAAATTATATGACTATCATGTTTTAGATTCTACAAATATATATATATATATAATTAGATATATAAAGAATGTTGCTTGGTCAAAATACTCAATAGTAACAAATTCTTTTGCAAACGGCTGCTTCCAAGAAAAAAAGGCAGTCCTATATCTTTTAACTTGACTTTTAATATCATTACAAAGTTATAAAATGGTTTACTCATATCATAATTATTTAAAAGTTAAATTAGTATGAAAAAGGTACAAATTAACACACTCAGAAAGAAAAAAAAATCTATAATGTTCTTGAGTTGGCCACCCCTAAAAGTGGATGGCAATTCTGAAATGGGCTTTTCATGTTTAGATTCTATCAAAACTGAATAGATGGTTCTTACTCTGTATGAGATAATAATAATATCGTGACAAAGACTATGTGACAATGGTAACAATACCATACAATTTATCAGGGAGGCAAAGCATTACAATTTTATCACGCTACCAAATATATTTTGAAGTTAAAACAAAAAACATACTAAAGTTAATCAAAAGCAAGATTTTCGACAGAGACTAAACAGAGTCGATTGAAGCTAAAAGAACGACAAGTTTTGAGAGGATGATTGAGATTTGAATGAAACCCACCCGACAAGAAATTACCCGAAAAGAACAAATCAATTCAATGAACCTTCGTCGAAATCATTCACTTGACCCCCCTTTATATAGTATACTTTATATTAATACATAAGAACTTGGATATTGTTAATTTTCTTTAACGCAATACATTTCTATATCAGACAAAAACGATTGTTTGTTTTCTCTTCTGCTTTAATAATAGCTATTAACTATTAGGATATTTTTGGAGAACGATTGTAAACCAAAAAAGGTTATTATCAGACTTTATTTCTTTCTTTTTATTTGCATACAAGATTAGTTCAATAAAATTATCTATATAAAAGGGGTTTGTTATATATAAAACATACAGTATTTGTCGGACGAGACCAACCAAAACTAAGAAGTTCAGGACTTCAGGTTATCGCAAACTTTGCCTTTTTTGACATAAACTTTAGAAAACAAATCTGAACCTGTCTTTTTCTCTGATTTTCATAATTTTTCTAAGTAGGTTCGAGAGGAAAAAACAGGAATTTTTTAGACAACCGATTTTTCATAAATATGTATGTTGATATATATGATGATATCAAAAAAAAAACTATATGATGATATCAAATAGTGTTAATTATTCTTATAAGATAAAGAAAAGAACAAAAATTCTTTGAAGAACGGACCGGATTAGGCCTGGGCATTCGGATTTCGGATCGGATTCGGTTCGGATTTATTCGGATTCGGATAATTCGGATAGGAGATTTTATTATCCGTTCGGATTTTATGACTAATCGGATCGGGTTCGGTTCGGATAGTGTCGGATTCGGATCGGTTTTGGATTTTTTTTCAAGTAAAAAGAAACTAAAAAAATGTTCAATTTAAATAAAAAATAGTTTAATCTTACTAAAATTTGGCTAAGTTTTCCAAAAATATGTATAATTTTAACAAATATAACTAAAAAATTTCCAATATCTAGGTTATTTAGGATATTTTTGTTATTTGTTATAAAATTATAGCTAAATATAACTAATATTTTTGGATATATAATTTTATTTTCGGTTTTCGGATATCCTTTCGGTTTTCGGTTCGGATCGGGTTCGGTTCGGATAATTCGGATAGGAGAATTCATTATCCGTTCGGGTTTTGTGACTATTCGGTTCGGATTCGGAGCCGGATTTTTCGGATCGGTTTCGGATCGGTTTTCGGATTTCGGATTTTATGCCCAGGCCTAGACCGGATCTATCGTATACTCGTAGGGCTCTCTCACAAGAAGTAATCATGTGGCATATGGATCGACCTTTATATCAACCGTTAGATCTGAATCCAAATCGGATGAGAAGATCGGAACCGTCCACTTGTCGACAAGGGAAGCTTTCTATCTAGGAGTTGACGTCAAAAGTCTCCCTATTTATGACGCCATAAAACGATTAGTAGACTTCTTTGGATGCTGCCAGGTTGTTTCCTTTGTCGTTCTTCGAACTTTCTTTTTTTTTCTTTTTTATTTTTTGTTTTTGTGAGAATAAAGACTAAAACTATATAAATGTCATTGCCGTATTTAGATTATGTCAAAACATTACAAAACCTAGATTTGATCTAAGCGCTCTCTCTCCCTCTCTTTCTAGCTCTCTCAACTCACCAGACCAATTCCATGGCAGGGAAGAGGTTATTCCAAGATCTTGATTCCGACCAAGAAAATAAGTCCGAGAAACGGATTAAATCTGTATCATCCCTTGCCTCGTAATTTTTCTCACAAAATTTTCATTCTTTTTCTCTTATACTGAATTATTTCTACAATCTTAATTTTTGTTTGGAACATGTTCATTGTCCAATCCTTTTTTTATCACATATATCATGTGTATATATGTATTTTATGTATATGTTCTATTCACTCTCTCTCTCTCTCGTATCCATATAAATAATATCTTCTCTAGATCTTACTAGTCTTGAATTTTCTGTTCTCTTGACTTTTTTTTTTCTGATAAACTTTTGTTTCTTGCCGGCCAATTTCCAGTGTGTTTGGAGCATTGATCACAGAAAACACCCTTAAGAGCTTTTCTTCAGCCCTAGAGCCCGTTCTTAGAAAAGTTGTAAGTATACTATAATTCCACTTTTATTTTGTTATTTATAAATACTTGTTCTAATGTCGTCGATATTGTATGTTAAGTAGCACTAGATTCATACGCATATCTATACTTTACAACTGACAACTCATGGATATAGAGAAGTGGAGATATATATTGATATTTTCAAATTTTGGAATTGAGAATAATTAGAGTTACATATTTACCATGTTTAATCAACTACACATACTAAAAGTAACAAGTGTAACAATAAATATACGAGTCTATTATTGACGATGTCTAGTGTTCGAGTTGGAACTTGATAAAATAAGAAAGATTCGATCCTGTTGCTAATACTATAATTTTTATGTACAACACATATGCATGTATAGTTGCATTATTCTTATATATCATATATATACACATACGTTATTAGTATATCATAACTTTATGATCCATTAAGATATATAGTACTAAATACTTACAAAGTTATAAATCTTTTTAGTATTAATAACAAGACCTCTCTAACCTAACATACACACATATATGCTACTAGCCTTAAAAAGATCTACATATTGGCCTACATATTTAATTCACAAATAAAATCTTTTTAGACATGATTTTGTTTCGTGAATTATTGTGTTGTTTTAGATTCTCAAAACAAAATCAAATATGTCTATTAACAACAAATTTAATAGACATATCTTAGTATATAGTATTGTTTAATTTGTGTGTGATAAAAATATCAAATTATTTGTTAATATAAACCAAATAAGAGTATTTTATAATTAACTCTACTCGTTTTGGTGACGTGACCAGGTAAGACAAGAAGTGGAATATGGAATTAGTAAACGATTCCGATATTCTCGGTCATCGTCTTTCCGTATCGAAGCTCCGGAAGAGTCTATTCCGACATTCAAGCTAATGTTCCGTAAGAGCTTAAGTACACCAATATTCACCGGAAGTAAAATCAGTGACGTGGACAACAATCCACTTGAGATTATCCTTGTTGATGATTCAAACAATCCGGTGAATCTCGACCGTTCGATCAAACTAGACATCGTTGCTCTTCACGGAGATTTTCCTTCGGGTGATAAATGGACTAGTGATGAGTTTGAGAGTAACATCGTCAAAGAAAGAGATGGGAAACGACCGTTACTTGCCGGAGAAGTAAGTGTGACGGTGAGAAACGGCGTTGCAACAATCGGAGAAATTGAGTTCACAGATAATTCGAGTTGGATTCGTAGCCGTAAGTTTAGAATCGGTGCGAAAGTTGCGAAAGGGAGTAGCGGTCAAGGCGTTGCGGTTTGTGAAGCGATGACTGAAGCGATTGTTGTTAGAGATCATCGTGGAGAATGTAAGTTTATTTACTTTTCTTAATTACTAATTATTTTGCCTTAACAAGAAAATTTATGAATATATAACAAATAAATATATGCATTCATATATAATGAGTTTTGTGCTTTTATTCATTAAGCAGTACTCCACTAGGCATGTGATAGTAACATATCACTAGTTTCAATTATCTTTGACCTGACCATATATGGCATCTTATGGATTACCCTACTATCAATCATACATATACCCTTAAGATACTGATTTATATGCAACACATGTGCACAGAAATCCAATTAAATGATATTTTGCTTTCGTCAAAATTTTACTTGCATAATTTCGTTTTCAAAATTGATCAACATATCAATCTATCTAGATGTTTTTGGTTTTTTCTTTTTATTTTTTTTAAAAAAATCTTAGTTTTTATAATTAAATACTAGTAAAGAAATATAAAACTATATAGTATTTGGGTATAACAAAATTGTTGTATCTTGTCATGATATGTTTTGTCTACAAATATTAATTATGGTTGGTTTGTCTTTATATACACACAATTTTTGTAACTTCACTTTTATTTTTCATAGGGAAAAACTACTAAAAGTATTTTCGATGTGAACCGTGTGCTAACGACTGTCCCACTTTATACAATAGCCTAAAGTCTTTGGCCAATGCTTATATCTTATTAATTAATACTCTATAGTCTATATATTTTCGAATCTTGTAACACGCAAATCCTAATCAAAATGGGTTCAACAAACACATGCATAAAGCGGATATATATAAAGTAGATACATAGTAGAAATTGAATACAATTCTAAATAGTTTTGTACAACTTGTGGTTGGTGAAGTGTACAAGAAACATCACCCACCAATGTTAGAAGACGAAGTGTGGCGGCTGGAGAAGATAGGCAAAGATGGGGCCTTTCACAAGAAGCTCTCCTCTAAACACATCAACACTGTCCAAGACTTTTTGAAACTATCCGTCGTTGACGTCGACGAACTCCGTCAGGTACTAATTATTTTCTTATTTCTAATATTTTACCCGTAAACTTTTTAATCATTAGAGAACTAATAGGGGTTTGCTAATTTGTTTGTTTGTGTACAGATTTTGGGCCCTGGAATGTCTGATAGAAAGTGGGAAGTAACATTGAAACATGCTAGAGAGTGTATTTTGGGAAATAAGTTATACATTTCTAGAGGGCCGAATTTTTTCATGATTTTGAATCCGATATGCGAAGTCATGAAAGCACTTATCGATGGTCATGTTCTCTCTAGTCAAGAATCCCTGAATCAGGTATTGAAAGAAGTTATGAAAGCAATTATCGATCATTTGTTAGAAACTGTATTTATATTTCGTCTATGGTAATATTTTGTTGCAGCCCTATGTTAAGAACTTAGTTCGAGATGCTTACTCAAAAGGAAACTTGTTAGAAGTGGGCGAAGGAACAGCGAACGAGGCTGCTCTTTTGACACAAGGTATTTTAAAATAAAGTCGACATAAACACCATTTCTGTTTTTCTATAATTGCTAAAACATCGTTGAATATATAGTACTAACTATATTTTAAAATTATATAGGTGATAATTTGGACCAACAATACGTTGCGGGCCATTACGACAACATCGAAATCAATAGATCATCTCAACAAAACGGATATGTTCAAGAGAGAACTACAAACAATTTGGAGATTGTAAACGAAGGGTATATAATAACTACTCCAGCGGAATTCAATATATGTTTTACCGGATCTTCGTCTCAGAACCATATAAACCCTTTCTAAATCCTCATCTGCGTTAGAATTGGTAGACATACCATAGTGCCTTGGACGTGATTGGACTCTTTCTAAATAAGGTTTTAATCTACTACATGTATTCTATATATGAGGATCATATCATTGTACATAAAAGTGTGAAATTTTTAGCCTCATATTTTTCGTTGAATGGTATACCATTTGTTCACGTTTTCACGTTCTATGAAAACGTTGTTTTTACCATTCACAAATTTTAACGTTTTCACGTTTTAGAAAATTTATTCTGTTGTATATGTATTGACTAAAAAAGAACAAGCCAATATTTCAAAAATACTTGGTTTTGAACATTTTGTGATTTTTATTTTTATTTCGATATTCTATCATTCCACTAAGCATTTCAGTTATGAGCATAAAAGGAAATCAAGAATACGAGGGTAACTTTGTGATTCAAAAGTATCTGATCATGAAGGAAATCACTTTGATTCAAGTGATGTTCTTCAGAGTTCTTATCTTTTGCCGAAGTTGGAAATTTAACCTTTGGAATTAGATGAGAATTACAAGTTAGAACGAAGCCAAGCTTTTCGAGAGATCACACTGGTTGATTATAATGATCTTAAACGATTTGATCAAACGGTAGCAAGAATAAAGAGTGAAGTGGCAACAAGAGAATGCAAAAGATGATCATACACACCATTTGTTCTCTGAAACTCTCTATTCATTTACCATTACCAATCCTAATTTACACATCAACGAAATTGAAGCTTAAAGAGGAAAAAAAACTGATCCTTCATCTGCTAAAAACAAGCATAAATGACAATTGCTTATCTTCTTATTAATCTACCGTAGTTGTTGTTGTTGTTGTAGCAGAATCTCTGCGAAGCTCCTTGACAAGAGTAGCCAAAGCCTCAGGGTTAAGACCAATATCACAAAGAGCTATGAGAACAGACAAAGTATGTCGATCAAGCCCTGTCTCCAAGATGTTGGACATCCGAAACACTAGCTCCAGCGACTCTCTCGCTGTTTCAGCTGCTTCCTGATTCATACTCTCTGAAACCACCAAAATTTATCCAGAACAAAAAAAAAAATTCAATCAAATTTCGGAAACGATTCAATTTATTGTTTGTTATAAATATCTATTCTTGTACACATATTTATCGATGTGCGTAGAGTGGAGAAACCCCTAAAGTGTAAATCGGAGACTTGCCGACGGATCAAGAGATGCATTAGATCGGAGAAATGTTAAGGGAACAAACGAACCGATTAAACGACGGAGACGAATAACGGCGTCGAGTTCGGGAGAGAAGAAGTGAGATCTCAGAGCTTGAGAGAGTTGAGAGATACTACGATTCTCGATCTCGTGATCGAAGAAGACGAAGACAAGGCGATAATGGGCAAACAAATATAAATCTAGGGTTGTTTTCTAACGAAAATAAACCTTTGGCCGGTTCATGGTAGATTAACTGGTTCGTATAAAATTGGTCGGTTAACTTAAAATCGCCGGTTCTAATATAAATCAAGTCTCTAAACAAAATTTCAATCAGGGTTTAATTTGACAAAAATGCATCCAATTTTAGGGACTAAAATTTTGTAAATTTTAACTAGCTTATGATAGTGGAGTTATTCGAAATTTCTTAAAACCATAATCATACATATAGAAGAAGCAAGATTTCACTCGTGGGATTATTTCGAATATGGTAAGTTTAATCGTTGATGATAAACACATAATTAATTAAAGCCAAAAACTCAAGACTAAGAAACTTGTAGTAGAAAAACCATCAAAAGGGACACCTTTCTTGGATCTTGAAAGCAAGAAACACAACTTGGAAAAATGAGAACGAAATACTGAGACTAGCATTTGGGATACGGACAATGACAATCAGTGGCAATCTTTTTGGCATTTGGTGAGTCAAGGAAAGATTTGAAGTTAGGGTTCTTCAAGTACTGGCAGACACAGTGCTGTTGCTCCTTCACCTTGGTGCAACACAGTTCCGATGGCTCAGACCCTTTCGTTATGGTGTCCAAGCATGGGCTCAACTTCATAGGATCACATGGCTCTAATGCAGCGACTCTGTTTTCTTGAGCAACAATGAGAATGAGAAAGATTGCACAAGTGAACAACACTGGTTTTGCGCAAGAACCCTTCATTCTCTCTAAGTTAGAGAAAGAAGAAGAAGAAGCTATTTGGTTTGGAGTTTAAAGTGGGTTTCTCTCGTTCTATTTATAGAAGAAGATGGCTTTGAGTGAGTCACGTTACTCAAATGAGAGTTTGTGGTTGCAGGAGATCTCGATATGTCTAAAAGAGATTATAGTTTTTTTTTAAATGCTCGGACAAAGCATAAAAACAACTAGACACCATTTGGGAGAAGTAATGAAACCACGTGTAACCAACATAGATGTCAGCTTTCGGCTAACCCCAGTGAAGGTATATGAACTTGTTGACACTTAAACAAAGAAAAAAAGAACACCTTCATAATTATATTTAAATTCATTACTATTATACTAAGCACAAAATAAGACTCTAGTTTCTAATTATATTGAAAGTCGGAACTTACAGCGAACATGGACCAAAAGCTGATCTATTTCCATTCACTATGCAGTTGCTTCCTTTCAAAATCTTCAATGTAGTGCATAAGTCTGAAACCCATACCCAAGAGCAATTAGAGTTCATTGATCACAATGTTTAAACATATATCAGGCCATGATAGAATAAAAGAAGATAAGCTGCAATATCTATTATGTCTACTAAGACAACTATTTTAGAATCCATATTCTGGATTGTGGTATATCAGCCACAGAGGTTTTCATACTTTGCACATAATTGATACAGTAAACAAAGCCCGAAACCACGATTAAGCAAAGAAATCACATGTTTAAAGATGATTAAACAGTCTCTAACAAGAAGTTGTGAACACACGTTAGAAAATCTCTCATATACTAAATAATATGTATATCTCTTTAATCAAGTTATACAAGTAGAAATTGCAAAATGTGACCAAAAATAAGAGACTGGAAATCGAAAACTTACTATGTTTAATCACTTTCAGAGTTAGAATAAGACAAGCGATTAGCTTTAAGGCCATCATCAATCTTGATATTGACACCAGACAAGCCAACATCTCTCAGGCCATCAAACTCTATATCGGAATCAGACGAATCACCATCTCTCAAACCAAGGCCGTCACTCTCTATATCAGAATCAGATGAATCACCATCTCTCAGACCATCACTCTCGGTATCTGAATCAGACGAATCACCATGACCATCACTCTCAATATCAGAGTCAGTTTCATCGACCTTATGTGCATCGTTAACTGGATACTTACGCACCTCATCCATCACCTCATCGTCACTATCATCGTGTTTCCCTGATAACTTCCTAATCATCATTGCCTCAAACAAGTCAGGTATAGCATCCTCATCTCCATCATCCAAAAAGCTTTGAATTCTCTTTTTCAGCTCTGAAAAAGCAACATACAATATATTATAAGCAATTTTGAATATACACATGAAAATTTATGCGCGGATTGATTCACAAATCAGCTAACTCCGTCATTGCAAAATTCTCTTCATTTTTCATTCAGAAGTCAAAATTATACATTTTCATCAGAACAAAACAAAGAAGTTGAATTCAAGAAATGTCACCTTCTTTAGAAAGAACCTCGTCGGTTTTGAAACCACGGGCCGAATCGGACTCGGAAGAGAAGAAGACGAATCGGGAAATAGCTCGTTCGAAGAGAGGAACAACAACAACACGAGGGTTGATGTTCGAATGACGGAAATTGGCGGGCGAGTGAAGGAAATTTCGAGCCAACAAAGTGGGAACTCTTTGAAGAAATCGTCTCATGGGATTTGCCTCAAGACTAGGGTTTATCAGAGAATTAGGGGTTTGAGTCAAGACCCATAAGTTCTTAATCTGTTAACAGACACTTTAACCGCTCTTCTTCGTTTCTGGTTTTCATAATTGATCAGACCGGATCGGCCCGAATTTACCTGTCCGTTTTCATTGTCTGATGGAACAGCCCATTCAGGCCCAGCCCAATCTAGCACAAAATTCAATTTTCGCTCAATGATGTTTTCGGAGTATAATTTTTTTTTACTTTAGTGTTAGTACTTAGTAGTTTGTTCTTTTTTAACTAGCACCAAGTAAACGAGTTGAAAAAACAAAAATCTGGAAAGCAAAAAAATCATAAAACTTGACGTAGAGTTGAGAATTTTTTTTCTTCGGACGATTTATCACTTTTTATTGTCCCTCTAATCTCGATCCAGCAAATCCGGACCAATATTCTTTGGATACTTGTGTTTGGCAGACTCTTTTATGTATAAAATATACAGATTTATAATTTTGTGGCAGTATAAACAAAAGTATACTACTAACTTGTGACTTGTGGGTTATGACTTGTGAGTTGTGATCCTCTAATTTTTATTCTCTTTCATACCTCGAATAAATAAAAATTGACATACCTCTGACAAAGAAAAAAAAAAAGTAAAAGTCGACATATGAGACCTTTTCTATTCATACAAGCAAAAGACAATAAAATTTCCTCAAATCTATCTTCGTTTCTGAACAAAAGTGACCCAAAACCAAAAAAAAATTATTCAAATCAGGTCAAATCTTGATACTTTGATAGGAAGTAAGGAAAAACAGAGGGGTCCAACTCTACAAAGACTGGTGAGAATCTATTGAGTGAATAGCTAAAGAACCTATTACTATTTTACCCTCACTTTCCTCAAATTTTCAAACATAGCAACAGTGCTAAAACTCTAAAGTAAAGTATAAACCACACATATTCATGTGACATGTGAAAAGAAAAATATCTAATTTAGTTACTTGTAGACTTCAAACACAAACAAGAAAGTGGATTTTGATTAGCTAACGTACTAATTACTTCAATTAGTTTCACTAATCCAACTTAAGAAAGCCCTTTCACTAACCTTCTTCCGCGCCCTCTGTCTCCATTATCTCTCTATCTCTTTCTTTTATTTTTTCTCTCTCACAGAGAAGAAGAAGACAATGCCAGTTTCTGCAGAGCCATCTTCATCTTCTTCAACAACAATCGGTCAACACATCAGACTCCAACGACCTAGGAATCATCGAAATCTCCCACCCATTTCCACCGCCGACGAACCTCTAATCCCCAAACCTAGCCGCGTCTCTAAATCCGCCATGTCTTCCTTCTTCCTCTTGCCAGAAACCACAAAGAAGAAACCCCAAACGGCGTCGTTTCGTGGCCTGGGATGCACAACCTCCGCATCTCAGCAAGTTTCTGTCCCGGCGGTGATTCGCTCCTCCGCGGATTGGGATGCGAGTAATTTCAAAATGAAGAAGACGAAGAAGAAGAACAAGAACAAAGGTAGTAGTAGCTACAATGGTGGTTCGATTAAGATCTTGAGCGAAGCTAGTAGTAGTAGCGTCTCTTGCGCAGCGATTCCTGATGTTTGGTGTGGACCTGGTGTTGGGTTCTCAACGGATGCTGTCGTCGCCGACACCGTCGAGTCAGATCCTCCGAGAAGGAATCTTCCGGTGAGACGCAAAATCGATGGAGATAAAACCAATAGTAGCAGTAATAATCAGAGAGAGGTACATTCACATTTTCTATTTTCGTAAAGTTTCCATTTTTATTATTCGTTGCGTGTCTCTGTGTTAATTTGATTTTTGGTTTTGAGTATCTAAAAGAAATATTGAAAATTTGCTTAAATGTTTAATTTAGTTGTAAATATGTCAGTTTATAATATCTTAAGAATATTTGATTTGCCTTTATCTATTCCTTTTTTCGTTTTGATTTAGGTTTATCGTCTTTTTCTTATCTATAGCAAAATTAGGCTTTGTTCTTTGATAATATAATAGAACTTCGTTATTCATTCTTCATTTAACTGGTCTACTCTGGTAAGTGATATTATATCTCAAGTTTCTGTGGAGTAAAGTAAGGTTTTTTACACTGTTTCTCTGGTAAGTGATGATATGAGGTTTGGAGTTTTGTGTTGTTTAACTCAACTGTTACATTGCAGGGTTCTTCTCTTCTTCCCAGACGATCTCTCAATCAAGAATCTAATCCTTACTTTGATTCTGATTCGGCTTTTTTGACATCGCGTGCTGAACAGACTGATAGATATCATCGTCATCTAAGACAGTCTTACCCTGATGGACTCGCTGAGGTATTGTGTTGCTTTTGACGTAAGTTTCATATGGAGTTTGTGCCAATATGTATTTTTACATATTGGTGTTTCATTGCAGATGATGATGCTGCAGAATGGTTTTGTGATGGGAGGAGTAATAAGCTCATTCGATCAATTCCATGACATGAGGCTCAATGTTGATAACATGACATACGAGGTAGGTGCCTTTCGAGCAATTCCACGACTTGAGGCTCAATGTCTCTAGGTTCTTGAGTGTTGTGTTTGTTTTGTTGTTTAAAAACAGCAACTTTTGGAGCTTGGTGAAAGAATTGGTCATGTGAACACTGGACTAAATGAAAAACAGATCAAAAGCTGTCTCCGGAAAGTCAAACCATTCTGTTTCGATACACCAGTTGCAGATAGAAAGTGCATCATTTGTCAAGTAAGTCCAGATTTGGCTTCATTGCTCAAGGAGTTCTTTGTGGAAACTCATGTTTAGATTGGTGAGAAAACAGAGTTGTTCTTAAAGAATGTTCATGTTTTGTCTATTGACAGGACGAGTATGAGGCAAAGGACGAGGTAGGGAAATTACCGTGTGGGCACAGGTTCCATATCCACTGTGTGAAACAATGGCTAGTGAGGAAGAACTCTTGTCCCGTCTGTAAAACGATGCCGCACGATATATCTTAGATATAGATATTTATCTCTTCCTGTGATGTGATTCTTGATTTCGGGATTGAAACCAAATCACTATTTTATGTTAAGATTCCTTTTTTGGCTTTTTGTTCATGATTGCTATTTTTCTGAGAAAAAACTGTTGAGACCTTTGTATTACCTATATGGAAAAGTCTGGGAGACATTGTGAACCCCACAATTGCGTGTGGGTTTGTTCATCTTTTGTTGGTGATAATTAGGTCGTCGACTACAAAAATGTTAGGTAGATCTAGTATTTATATTAGTCACATGAAAATGATGAGATTGTTACGTGCAAGTAACATCGTGTATCTGTAGTGTAATCTACACATACACGAGATCAATTTGAAAGGTATCATTTGAGTTTAATTTCTACTACAGTGCTTGTGAGTTCGGAGTACAATAAGCTCCTAACTGTGTGAAGATTTGTATACATATAAAAGTATGTATGGAATGTTTTATGTACAGAAACAAGAACCAAAATCCATTTGAACTCTCGTTGATCTTAAATCTCATCATGTTGTTGAAGAAACCGAGTAATCAGAGGATATACTTCGTTTGGAGCCTGTATGGAGAATGAAATGGTGAATACAAAACCGATATGACTTGTAACAATGAATGAAGAGATATTGATCATACATACCGATCGACCAGAGATTAGATCCTGGTGGCCATAATGTGGACCTCCGGGTGACCCTAAAACTTTGAAAGTAGCTAGATGTTCTGGAATCAGCTTTACAGTATCTGCTCATCAGTTCAACACCATCACACACTGGTTATTGATTACACCAAGTAAGTGAAGGAAATCTTGAATTTGCGGTAAAAATATGTTGTAGAATACTACCGTATACTGCATCGGGAGGGCAGATTATGTCCCAGTCCCCTGCAAGAGCTAAGATAGGCACATTGGTTTTGCTGATATGATCCTTGTAACAGAAAGTACCGGTTCTATCACGCAGCCCACCGTGGTCCACGGTTGTTGTTAGCTGCAAGAGAAGCTTAACTGGTACCGTGCCTGTTTTATTTCCAGGAAAAACGGTATGGTTATCGCGAATATGCCTAGTAATAAATATGTGCAGAAGTTTGAGACAATGTTAAGTAATTTGTACTTAAGCTGTTCAAAACAAGCTTCTCAATCACTTCTGGGTCCATCATTTGAGGAGCAGAGATATTAGCAGTTAACCAAGACAAAGCATATGGAGGACGACACATAAGAGGGTGAACCATAGCGAGCATTGTGTCAATCGGCATGATAGGCAGGTTAATAGCTTGTGCTGGCTCTTTCTGAAACAGAATGACATTTAAGATAACTTTCTCAGTCATATTTCCCTCTTTAGAGAGTGACACAGTGTGGTGATTGGTTCTCGAGTACTTGCCATGGGTAATAGGTACTTGAGGAGTGTTCCTGAGGATGAGTAGTCAAATGTCGATGCAAGAGTGGCGACAGCAGCCAAACCTGAATCCATTCCTTTAAAGCCTAGTGAAGAAACATGATTCAGCCAGAAACTGATAATGCATTATATTTTAAGAGAAATCATCAGGCTATATGATGCAAAAGAGAGCTTACCACATCTGGAGAGCAAGGCATATAACAAGATACCACCCATTGAGTGACCAACTGCGAGCAACTTTCCATCTTTTGACTTGGTTTGAGTCCTTACATAGTCCATCTGAGACCAACATTTCATATAATAATTAGACACAACTCCAACAGAATGTCAAATTCATGTTTTTTTTTTGGTTCAATTCTACAGAAGAAAAAACAAGAGGTGTCACCTCACCGCAGAAGGAACATCTTCTTCTAGATAGGTATCAAAATCCCAATTGTAATGAGGGATAAGTTCAAGCCGCTGCTTGAAATCTCTCGCTCTCTTCGATAGACGGTCTTGCATCCCAAGGATTTTGGAACCTGCAGGTTCTTTCTCAGTAACTGGACAAAGATTCTCTTCTCTGGTCTTAACAGAACAAAACCAAATCGACAGTAGTATGAATCAACCAACCTCCATCAAGAACATTTTCCAGCCTTTCAGATACACTTATGAAATTCTCCAATAGATTCGAGACTATCCGCTGCTGGTTATTGCTAGATAACGTTCCTCCCGGTTTCTCTTTTGGCCAACAAACAGGATTTATCAGAAAGTTAAATAACATCTACACAACCAAACATTACCATCAGTGCCGGCTCAGATGGGTGGGCAGGCGGTGCGACGGCCAGGGGTCCAATCCCGTGGTCCAATAATTAAGGGGCCCATTTTTTAAAATATTTTTTAAAAAATATTAAAAAAATTAGATTATAACATAAAAATAAAATTTAGAAAGGTCTATAAAATTTTTTATTTATTGTTTTTAGTATTAGTAATTAATATTTTTAACAAAAATAGCATATAATTTTTTTTTACAGCAAAAAAACATTAAAAAAAAATTTCTAAGAGTCCAAAATTTTGTTTTGCCCTAGGGCCCATAAAAATGTTGAGCCGGCACTGATTACCATAAGAAAATCATCATGCCTTTACCTAGATTTGTATCGACACTTAAAGAACTCAACCCCGCTCCACGGAGCTCAAGAATCCATGTATCAAATCCTGATCCAGACATGAATCTTGCAAAAGAACACTACAAAAATGAATATCCACATAAACAAAATAAAACGTTTAGCTTCCAAATACAAAACTTGTGTTACAAGAATCCATTTCAATATACTTTGTACACTATCAGATCGTGCCTAAAATAACTAAACCCTAATCAAAATCACCTCAGGGGAAAGATCGTATGTAACAGCATTGGTCCCAATTCCTGACAGTAGAAGCAAAGGATGGTTCCTCTTTGGTGCCTGTAAGTGTATAAACATTATAATACGTATATAAATACACCTACACTTATGATACATGTCTCTATATATATCATATCAGTACCTTTGGGGAAGGAAGATATCGCCAGAGAGCAAGGCGCCAATCGGAATTGGGAACAGGAACGTAGTGAAGTTCGTCCGCCGTGCAGATTTCATTCACCGTCGTCCTCGCGACCGATGTGATCGCCGGAGATGATGAGCCGACTCGGCCGAGTTGCAGTGAGGAGAAGAAATGGCGTGAGTGACTGTGTAAAGAAGTGGCGGCGACAGCGGAAGTGAAGGAGGCCGAGCTTAACTCAAACCGGAGAGTGTCCATAACCACCGACCACCGTGAATCACTACCAAGATCTTACTCAGTCGCTGGAGCAGAACTAAGGTTTATATAGACGGTGAAAGATCTTACTCAGTCGCTTTCCGCTCAATTTCTAATTTTTGTGGTTAAAGATTTTCAACTTGCCACAAAAACGGAAAAAAATGACTTAAATTAGTGAAATTAGATAAAAAGTCGGTGCAATTTTATCCAAAATATAAATATCTTTACGATTCCAAAGCTTGTACTTATCTAACATTTTGTCTATAAAAACCAAAAAAAAAATCTAACATTTTGTCTATACTAGTACGAAAGTTTTTAAAACTTGTATTTTTGTTGTTATTTTTAGAAGTGTTTTATAAAAGTGTCCACGAAATCGGTAACTTATAAGCAACGTTTGTGTTGTTGATCTAGGTGACTGAAATTTTTGAAAATAGCTTAACTTCATTTACATACACTGATCCCAGTTATACATTCTCAAGAGAGCTGCGTCGCAGAGAAGGTTCCCGACTCGGAAAGATCATTGAGTTTAAGGAAGATACAAAGGACAAGTTTTGATTCATATATACAAAGTAAAGGTAACAGGAAGAAGAACGCAACTATTTCCATTTAAAGATTTTTTTTGTTCACTCTCTATTGCAAGGCCAAATTCGGCAACACAAATCAACAAATAGTTCTTCAAAATCTACAAGAGGCTCATCAATCATACACATACTTGGTTTCACAACACTAATGTAATCTGTAACACTAAATTTACCTACTTATCTTTGGATTTGATAATAGAAATAATGTGTTTAGCAACATCTGATGCAGCGTCGGGTTTCGCAGCTTTGAATGCCCGCTCGCTCATTTCCGCCATCAGTTCTTCATTCCCTATCATTTGAAAACAACTCAATGAGATAATGAGAGGAGGAAGAATATGAGAGTTGAAATTTTAGATTGTTTTCCACTTTGTGGAGTTTTAGTCACCTAGAATATCTTCCATGGCAGCTCGAAGAGTTATCGTATCTAGCTCCTCTTCTGTTATTAACTTTGATCCAACAATGTCTGCCATTAAAGAAGCATTCCTTACTTGATCCCCTTCATCGCTATGTGGTGATGGTATCTAACAAAGAAAAACAGAACATTCAATGCTTTAAGACAAGAAAGAACATAATCAGCTTACAGTTTTAACATACCAGAATAGAAGGTTTGCCTAAAGCCATAATCTCTGAGCAAGTCATTGCACCCGCTCTCGATATAACCAAATCTGCAGCCGCGTAAGCCACACCGATTGATCGCAAGAACCTTATACCAAATATAAAACACATTTAGAATTCTAATTTACTCTATGAGATTTAAAACCGTTCAAGAACCACAAAAAAAGAAAAAAAAGTAATCTCTTTGACATCATTACCAAAACCAAAAAGAGATTACACAAAAGCTAAACAATTTATAATGTTGTATAACTCACGGAGATAGAAAGAGACGAGGATGGCTTCTAACAAGACTATCCATTTCATCAAAAGCTTCAACACCAGTTTGCCAAACAAAGAACCAGTTCTCATGTTCAGACAACAACTGCGAGTAACAGTTAAGCAAAGCTATGTTAATGGCATTGGCTCCTAAAGACCCACCAAGCAAAAGCACAACTTTCGCTTCCGACACAGCTCCAGCCCACTGTCCGAAGAAGCTCACACGTGCCGCTCCTTTCGACGAGTACTTTCTAAGCGCTTGTCTTATCGGATTCCCGTAGACGACACACTTCCCGGCGACTCGTTTGGGGAGGTTAGTGACTGTACAGTTGAAAGGAGCGAAGATTGTGTCGGCGAAGAAAGAGAGAATCCAATTGGTGGTTCCAGGGATTGAATCTTGTTCTTGGATTACGAATTTGGTTCTTGAGATCACGGCGGCGAAACAGACCGGGAAAGAGGCGTGTCCTCCGGTTCCGACGACGATTAGAGGTTTGAATTCACGGAGGATTTTGTAGGATTCGAAGGTGGATTGGATCAAGCGGAGAGGGAATTTGAGGAAAGAAGTGAAGCAAAGGAATGGTCGGGACGATGATGATCCGACGGTGGAGATTGCTGAGAAATCGAATCCGGCGGAGGGAACCGTCGTGCTCTCCATACTGTTTGGGAATCCGATGAAGAGGATCCGAGCAAGTGGGTCGGCTGATTTCAGCTCGTCGCCGATCGCTAGCGCCGAAGAGATGTGTCCGGCGGTGCCTCCAGCGGATATGACTACTCGTAAGCTGGAGATATCGTCGGAGACGGAGGAATGGTTAATTTGGCGGTCTACTGAGATACAACAAATGGAGGAGGAGGAGGAAAGGGTGAGTCGAATAGGAACGAGTTTGGTCGAAGGGCAAAAGGGTAAATTTGGAGAGAGGAAGGAAGGGATCGCCATTAGAGATGGCGAGAGAAGCTGAAAGAGTCAAAATTTCACTTGGACATTCGTGTAGAAGATTGAAGACGAAGACGATGATAATGCTTCCAACTATAAACCATATGAACTAATCCTTTTTTTACTGAGTGAGATATGCAATGCGAAATCAGTTGAGAAGATCAGAAGAAGAATGGTCAGAGACGCGATCTTACGAAATTAGATTGAAGAATCGATGAGATCCTTCCTGATCAGTCTTAAGGTTTTTCTTGTCGGGATAGTCAAAGTTTGTACCAAAAAGTCAACTTGTTTGTACTTGCTTTGTTCTGTTCTGTTTATGTTGCCACGAGGGAGATATATTGTTATTTTATTTAACGTTGTTAGTTACTCTAAACCACGTATTATTTCAATTAAGCTTATAATATTTTGTATCAGAGAGCTAGCTACGAAATCGTATAGTAAAAGAAAAAGGAATGATAACCGTGGGAAGATTAAAAGAAGAATGAATGAGGGATTTTCAAACTAAGAAAAAAATTCAAATAAATGAAGAAAATTAGTTTCGTTTAGAAAAAAAACGGTATGTTTAAACTTTGAACACAATTACACAAGTGTTTCAACTCTATTGTCATCACACCAGAATCTAGGCTTGTGTAGTTTGATGTCTCTCTCTCTCCAGTGTGAAATTAATAGGCCATTGGGTCCATTTTTCTAATTTTTTGGTATGGTCCAAACCAATTATATTCTTTGTATTGTATTGAAGCACGTTAAACGTAGATTAACATAATAAGATTAATATAGCGTAACAAATGACTAAATGAGCTGTATATAAGGTAGCCGCACAGGAAAATCAATAAATCATAGTGGTGGCCTTGTTGGTCTTAAATGCAAAACTGGTCCCAATGATGTGTGCTGCAACTTTCTAATTCATCACTACATTTTTTTTTCTTCTCCTTTATACACTCGTGGTTCAGAAAATGATACCATTGTTTTTAATTTGGATCTGATGTGCAAAATGACTAGGATATGTGAGTAAAGTTCAAATTCATTGGTATTCTTTGTAGTTAATTACTCAAAATAAAGTACAGTGTTTAAACTTTCACTATTAAAAAAAATTGGTACAGACATACCATTATTCTTTGTTTCTTGAGCCAATAAAATAAAATAAAAAACCGTTATATATATAACAACCAGTAACCACTAAAAATGCGTCCGAGAAAACTTAAAAATAAAATAGATTACTTTTTATTTTTTTGTAAAATAGATTACTTTACATTCCATTGAATTATATATAACCACGCATATTTCTGTCTTTTAATGTTGAGCCGAAATTCATTAGTATTTGTGTCAATGCCCCACCCATGATTTCGGGTTAAAAAAAGTCAAAAGAAATATTCGTTGCAACAACAGGAAAAAAAAGATACAGTCGACAGGTAAAGTAAGTAAATATATTTTACATTCAAGAAACAAAACAAAAAACAGAAGCGAAGAAAACAACTTGGTTTTTGCAACAACAATACTTTGGGTTTGGTCCGACTAATCGTTGCCTCTCCCCAATTGGCAGCCATTTTTTACTCTCATCTCCTGAGAACGACAGGAGATAAAAAAAAAAAAACCCCTAAATTTCGTCAATTTCGGCGCTTCAGATTTTGTTGTCAAAAGATTTTGATTGATTTTGATTAAATGGGCGATCTTGCTGTGTCCGTGGCAGACATCAGGTTAGGAACATTTGATTCAATTTCATTGATTTTGCTTTCGAATTTCATCTTTCTTGCTGCGAATTTAGGGTTTATTGTAATCATTGGATAGAGTTAGGCCTTAGGTTCAATCTCAATCCAATTCGATGAATCAATGAATAATTGGTTTCTCCTCTATATTGACAACAGAAGATGATGATATATCATTCTTTTGTTTTGTTTATTGAATCAAACTTCAGAAAGCTGTTAATTTGAGACTTTATTTATTGGGGATAGGATGGAGAATGAGCCTGATGACTTGGCTAGTGATAATGTTGCTGAGATTGATGTGAGTGATGAAGAGATTGATGCTGAAGAACTTGAGAAACGGATGTGGAAAGATCGTGTTAAGCTTAAAAGAATCAAGGAGCAACAGAAAGTTGGCTCTCAGGGAGCTCAAACGAAGGAGACACCCAAGAAAATCTCGGATCAAGCTCAGAGGAAGAAAATGTCTAGAGCTCAAGATGGTATACTTAAGTACATGTTGAAGCTTATGGAAGTCTGCAAAGTTCGCGGATTTGTCTATGGTATAATACCGGAAAAGGGAAAGCCTGTGAGCGGTTCCTCTGACAATATAAGAGCTTGGTGGAAAGAGAAAGTGAAGTTTGATAAGAACGGGCCAGCCGCGATTGCTAAATACGAAGAGGAGTGTTTAGCTTTTGGTAAATCCGATGGGAATAGGAATTCGCAGTTTGTTCTCCAGGACCTGCAAGATGCAACTTTAGGGTCTCTGTTATCTTCTTTGATGCAACATTGCGATCCTCCTCAAAGGAAGTATCCGCTGGAAAAAGGGACTCCTCCGCCTTGGTGGCCAACCGGGAATGAAGAATGGTGGGTGAAACTCGGTCTGCCCAAAAGCCAGAGTCCTCCTTACAGAAAACCGCACGATCTCAAGAAGATGTGGAAGGTTGGAGTTTTAACGGCAGTGATCAATCATATGTTGCCTGATATTGCAAAGATTAAGAGGCATGTTCGCCAGTCGAAATGTTTACAGGACAAGATGACTGCTAAAGAGAGTGCGATTTGGTTGGCGGTTTTGAACCAAGAGGAATCCCTGATTCAGCAGCCTAGCAGTGACAATGGAAACTCCAATGTAACCGAGGCACATCGAAGGGGTAATAACGCTGACAGGAGGAAACCTGTGATCAACAGTGACAGTGACTATGATGTTGATGGGACAGAGGATGCTTCAGGTTCAGTTTCATCTAAAGACAGTAGAAGAAATCAGACTCAAAAAGAACAACCAACAGCCATATCACATTCAGTAAGAGATCAAGATAAAACAGAGAAACATCGCAGAAGGAAAAGACCCCGAATCAGATCCGAAACTGTCAATCGACAAGAGGAAGAACAACCTGAAGCTGAACAAAGAAACATCTTACCTGATATGAATCATGTTGATGCCCCTCTGCTAGAATATAACATCAACGGTACTCATCACGAGGAAGATGTTGTAGACCCAAACATAGCCTTAGGACCAGAGGAGAATGGTCTGGAATTAGTGGTTCCTGAGTTCCATAACAACTATACTTATCTTCCACCTGTTAATGGACAAGATATGATGCCTGTAGACGAAAGGCCAATGCTTTATGGACCAAATCCTAACCATGAGCTGCAATTTGGGTCAGGTTACAACTTCTACAATCCCTCTGCAGTGTTTGTGCATAATCAGGAAGACGACATTCTCCATCCACAGATAGAAATGAATGCACAAGCACCACCTCACAACAGCGGGTTCGAGGCCCCAGGAGGAGTACTTCAACCCCTTGTTTTACTCGGAAATGAAGGCGGCTTAGCAGGGAGTGAGTTGCCTCCTGAGTATCCGAGTGACATTATGTCTCCATTTAATGACCTGTCGTTTGATTATGGTATTGATGATTTCTCATGGTTTGGAGCTTAGTGTCTTGCCATTTTTTTTGGGAGGTTACATGGTAAGTTTTTATCACACAATACCATCTCATATATTTGATCTTAGTTTATAAATTTGATGGGTTTTGTTTCACTGTTATTTTTGTAGGTTCAAAAGGACATGGCAATAGTCTGGCTAGTACAGTTACATTCTCTTCTTCAGGTCTTCTGATCTTAATTCTTCCTGTTTTTTTTTTCTTTTCTTATAATATATTCTTAGATTTGTTAAGAGAAACAATTTTCCTTTTGAATAAGTTGCCAGAAAAACTGCTTTGCCCGTGTAATGGTCTCTAGGGAAAGCAGTTAGTGTATCATCATTTGTAAATTAACCTGTGAGTAAATTCATCAAGTTAAGAGAATCATTATTCTTCCAAGTTTTCATTCTTTGTATATATATTTGAGCTTGACTTTTTTCTTTACTAAGATTAAAGTATGTATATGAGAGTTGACTTGCTGGAAAGGTCAAAGAGGAAGGAAACACGTCGTTAGATAAACTACTACAAGGCACAAGGCCCGGTGAAAGTCTTAAAATCTGAAATATGGGTTCAAAGTCTGTAGGTACTAGGTAGTGTTCCCAAAAAGGCCAAAGTTCTTGCAAAGATGGTTTCACATAACTTAACACTAGTTCTAACCCGAGTAAAGCGTGCAAATCAAATAAAGACAGACTAATCATACAAAAAGCAAGACTTGAAGATGAGACAACTCAGGGCTTCCATAACTTCATGGTGCAATCTTCACTGTAGGTAGCAAGGAGGTTTCTATGCGGATGGTGTGTTATACCAATCACATCCTTCTCATGCACCTGTCATAAGCATTACACTATTCAGAAACCAGGACTAATAAAAGACAACTAAGACAAGTATTAAGAGAGAGAGAGAGGATTATAGTCTGAGCTCTAAAATGGAGAACAGATTGAATACATTATAAAACACAAGGGACTTCATTACTCTAGTGAGTTAATGTTATGTGTTTGGAGCATGTCTATTACGGATATGAACTTTCCAACATCCAAAATCTTTTGGAGCATGTCTATTACGGATATGAACTTACCATCATGAAATGCTCAAGTCCACCGGTTTGATAGTTGAAGCAGTACAATTTCCTGCAAGTTAGTGCAAACACCATTACAAACATCGAAGGCAGAAGATGAAACCCGAAAAGAAAGGAACCATAAGATTATCCTTTGAAATCAAACTCGTGGAATTTATCCAAATATAAAACGATAGATATGGGAGGTTAGAGTTACTTGTCTTCGCCGATGCAGTATATCCAATCTCCTTTTGTAGATACACATGCTGCTACAAAATCTCCTCCTTCCCTATTACCCGATGAGAAACTCTTCACAACCTGCAAAAGGATTACAATATAGAAGTATGTGAACAACCTTAGTTTTGGCATGAAAATGACACTGATTTGCATGAGACTGTTGCTGGAAATTCACCTGTCCTTGGAGCGTCATGATGTATATAGATGATGTCTTGTTGCACACAACAATGTGTTCTGTGTTTTTGGGGAACAAATGAATAGAGTTGACTGATGCGTCACCTCCCTATATTTCAAAATTTAGATTTGGTAACCAAAGAGTTTGCTACAGAAGATCAGAAAGAGCATTACAAGATGTATATGAATCTGTAATAGAAAAGATACCCTTAACGGAGGTGGCGGCTTGAATGTTTGTAGACAATCTGTCGTCTTAGAATCCCAGACCTGTGCTAGGAAACAAGACTGCAATTACACGGCAGAAGGAAGAGTCTAAATAAGAAACACTGATATTGCTGATGGCAGACAGCCAAAGCCGAAGAATATACCTTTACTGTACAATCACTGGAGGCAGTGATTATACGGCTTCCATCACTTGTAAAGATGGCATTATTTACATAAGATGTGTGACCACGAAATTCTTTCAACAATTTCCCAGATTTCAAACCATGAATTCTGCATAAAATAAAGCAAAAGATATAATAAGAATTCTATATTATATTCGACCAGAAGATTTACCAATAAACTTACATAACTACCAAATGAAAGGGAAAATATTAATGTTTTTCCACTGGACGAAGTACAAAATAAATAAAAAAGATATAACTAATAAAACCTTGCAGTTTGGTCAAAGGAGGTACTCAGTAATTGGCTTCCATCCCGAGAGAAGGAAAGACTTGTAACTCCTTGTGAATGTGCATGCTCAAAACGACGTATACATAGACCAGTCCTTATACGCCAGATCTGCAAAAGTGACATGCATCTAAGTCTAGTTTTCTTATTGTATACAATCAAAACTCATATGGAACAATGAGAGGAAGAAGAAAAATCGTACTGCCGCAATAGTGTATCTTCAGACCAAAAATTTCGACTTTAAGAAAACATATGCAGCAGGAACTTACCTTAATCTTTCCATCTTGTGACCCAGATGCAAGCAACTCTGAATCTCTGCTAAAATCTATGCAAAGGACAGGATCATCATGCATCATGAAAGTTTCCTGTCAGAAATTAATCATTGTAAGTAAAGAGGATGGAATGGGTACTCTTTACCCAAAGCTGATATTTTGTATACCAGGAAGTCTCAGACGAGATACTGGGTGCTTTAGGAGTTTCATTGGGAAACTTTTTGGAATTCAAAGATAAAAGTAATCCACCATATACTTGGTGCTTCAGGAATTTCATGGGCGACATTTTTTGGAATAAAAAGCAAAAAGTAATACGCCATATCATCTCACGGACTTGTCACCCGTTCAATAACCAGATGCAGTAAGGATTGTTTTCATTTGGTTAAAATGTACAAACAGCTCATCTGACTCACTACTGAGCTAGAATAAAAAATGAAAAGAAGACACGAAAGCTTACATCAGCTTGATATTGCAAATCCTTCTTCAGCTTCCCACTTATGTAATCCCATACCTGTAATGCTTTTCAAGTCTGAGCAATCCTAGTCACAGTATTATTTTAAAGACTATTGACTTGTATTATCATACATACAGATTCCGGATCAACTCACCTCGATAAAACCATCAACAGAAGAAGAGGCAAGAAACTGTCCATCTGGTGAGAATCTAGCGCATTCGGCATGACTCTTTTTACCAAACTGCACCAGCACAAGGAACGAGATATGAAAATTAGACAAGAAGTCAACTGATGAGAAAACCCAAAATAATTATGAACAACAGATCATAGACCACTAAGCAAAAAAGGCTATTAAAGTTGTTGTGATGAATATGAACCTTTATGGTATGTGTAAGAGCATTGGGATGTGTGTCTTCTACATCTTGTTTCATAGCTGCCGTCCCACGAAAGAGGTCAAACTGAGTTCCTGGAGGAAGCAGACCTGACACAAATGTACGTAAATTTTATGAAATGAGTTGAGGGTACATATGTTGATTTCATTGATATATTAGTAACATATACAAAAAAAAAGGAAAATAGATGAAATTTGACTTAAAATTCTACAGAACTGTTTGCTAGCATCCACAGTTCCTTAGATAATCACCTTGATGTTGTTGCCACTTTAAAGCCTGACCTATCAAAGCCATTAACCGTGAAGGTGGTACCACGGTAACCTCGGCAGCCACAGCTGATTGAGTAGGAGAACAAACAATTAGTGAACCTTGAGTACATACTGAGCACGAGAAAACAAAAACTCCATAACCATTAAACAGGAATTAAGTTCTCGTCATAGCTTCTTTTCATGTCGTAAAATATTCTTAAGCATGAAATAGAGAGAATATTCCAGAACATCATTTAGTTCCTTCAGGTAACTAATCCCACAATAATTGAAGAAAATTGTTCTTTTAGAAAACAAAGAAGAAATGGCCAACCTTGAGCAATCTGTGCCCGTTTTCTTTCTTTAGTTGAGTCTCCATAAGCCTTAGAAACAAAAGTAAAATCAGCAAACCATGTTTTTCAAACACACAAGGAAATGATTACATGAAAAAAAACCACTCTTTGTGCATAACATGAACAATGACTAAGAGACAATACACCTCAAAAGACTAATTAGATAGAAAAGTCAGATCCCTCAACATGTAAAAGAGGTAGTAAAAATGTAAAGATCCTTTTGTACTCACAAACACGGAGCATGTGTTATACTTTGAGAGCCTTATCTAGAAACAACTTCATGTTTAAACCGCTCACTGGTTCTACTTAAGATTTTGAAAGATATCAAACGTCGCACGTACTGCACAATTTAGAGTACAGAAAATGCAAGAGATATACAATATCTGGCAGATATACCAACATTGTTTTAACTGTTGAACAAGGACAACCATGCTTAGGTGACAAACAACAACAAAAACAACACTCAACGTGATACTGAATAGTCAAGTCAAGCATATTATAGCTTACATACCTCATGCGGATCAAAATAGCTTCTGACTAGAAGATGCTCCATCCGCAAATATCTTTCTGGTTGCTCCTGCTTCATGACACCCATCACCTGAGTCTGTCTCAAAATAGCTCGGGCAGTGTCCAACTCTCGAAGTTCTATCATCTCCAATACAATCTGAAAAAATTACCCCGAAAATAAACAAAACTTACAATGACAATCACTAGTTATATATACGTCTACATTTCACAGAGTAAAAAAAAAAAAGTAACCTGTTCATAAAGGTCTTCTAGTTTATTCCTGGGAAGTTTAAGTTGAGAAACTTGAGGTAGTACTGAGTCCCATCTTCCACTATTAATATCAGAAATAAACGTCTCGACGCTGTCTACTGTATTTAAAGAAACCTGACATTCGCTTTGTAATGTCTGGAATGTCTGATTCAAGGAGTTTTCTTTGCAGAACTGAAGCATAATCTTTATAACACTGAGACATTCAACACAATAGAGAGCTATTAGTGATGAAGAACTACACAAAGCTGACATATATCATCAATACGTTCTCCATCCAATTTTACTAACAAAGTGACTAATAGTACTGTCATTGGTTTCAATCCAAGCCAAGAATTAACAAGAGTTAAAATTTACACAAATTGGGGTTTGCCTCAACGGAGTCTAGATATTCCTAAGGCATTGGCTTTAGAAGAACCAAGCTTAAACAAAATATGGGTTGATTCAAAAACCATAAATTTAGTATGGAGGATATAGAAAGACGCATATTCAAGAGGTTTTCTCCAAACACGTAACCTAAGATCCGTCTGAGCATTCGTAAACGATGATTCTTGGAGCACAATTCAATCAGTGCGACTAAAACGAAAACTAGGGTTTGTAAAAGAAAGCGAAATCTTACTCTCGAGCTTCGATTTCGAGCGCCATAGTCAGTCGAAGTGGGTTTTCGCCGGAGACGACGGTAAGGGGTAAGAGTGGAGGAGAAAACACACGCCAATGAGTTTCAATTGGGTTTTAATTCCAGGGCAATGTTCGAATATCAAATATAAGGGTCAAAATTAAATTTTTAGAAACTCTGAGTGCTATTTTGTAAATTTAAAATTGCAAAACATTGCTTACATACATACACTTGGCAGCTTGAGCTAACTTCAAACTCTTTTTACATTTTTGAAATTTTAGGGAAAGACAGTAACAACAATAAACACATTTCAAGACACTCTTTGTTCCGAATGGAAGCAGTTTGCTGGCTGCTCTGTTTCACATCTTCCATGTTGATATTCATCACCTGTAACTGACAAGAGTCCAAATTGGAATCAATTCCAGAACATCTGGCTCTTTTCATGGGCTTTTGATGCTATACAATTGAAAATAGGAGCAGGCAAGTTAGGATAAAGATGTTCAATCCAGAGACCAAAACCAACAGAAGACCAACCAGTTGATGCAAATCAATCTATTGTTGTATGGAGCTTATGCTAATTCCTCTATCAAAATCATAGCCAAAGGTGCTCGCTTTTATAGATTTGACCCTGTGGAACTTTTTTCTTCTTTCTATAACAGTTTTAAGATACACATTTCTTTACCAGAGATCATCAATCTGAGACTGAAAGTATGCATATTTCCTTTTGGCTTCTGTCAAACTGTACAGTCCATTTTCACTAAATCCTATATTCTACAATCTTCCTACATACATCGTTGGCTACACTTCAAAATGCCTCGTCTTCTTCAGATTCCTCCTCTTCTTCTTCTTCTTCTTCTTCTTCTTCTTCTTCCCCAGATCTTGAACTACACTCCCTTTCAGCTTCAAAAGCAATGCTCATCTCTTTCTTTACCACATCAGCCAAGTCCTGTCTATTTGCACTCACATAAGCATCCCTCACCGCTTTAAACAACGACTGGTTTGGTTCAAGTTCCCCAAACGTAAGCCGGCTATGTACCCTCTTCACACCTTCCACCATTCCAGCTTTCCCGTATATCCCAACAAGGTAGGCCTGCGTAACAACATCTGGTTCTAAACCTTTTTCCTGCATTCTCATGTATGCCTTTAGGGCCATGTCAATGTCTCCTGATGCACTATAAGTGTATATCACTGCGTTGTACGCATAATGCTCACGAGGGACTTCATCTCTTGTGAGCTCTTGGCATGATTCCAGCGCGTATGCATACAGACCCATGGCTGAGAACAGAGTTGCAGTTATAGCTGGTGTGGCAAGCGGTTTAGCTTCATTATAGGCGGTTTGTAGCTGTGCCACGGCTTCACTTGGCACCCCACCTTTCTTCAACAGAGTGAAGAGTGTTTTAAACGTTCCCCAATCCAGCAAGAGCTTTCTTTCAACTAGCATCTCATGAAACAGTTCACAGCATTCACGTAACTGCCCATCAGCGGCGTAGCAAGCCAAAACCTGGTTGAACGAAGTGCAGTCTCTTAGTAGACCAGACTCTCTCATCTCTTCAGCCACTTCAATGGCCTCGTCGAGCATGCCCATTCCCTTGTATAAATACATCATTGTTGCAAACGAAATAACATCACATGTGCCTTTTTCTCTCAGATCATTGAAAATGGATTCTGCTTCTGAAACTATGCCGAGATCTGCACAGAGACTTAGCATGCTGTTTGATGCAGCAACATCTGGCCCACCTTCTGAATCCTTCATTTTGTCATACACTCTCCTAGCTTCTTCAAGACAACCCACTTTGCTATAAGCCTTGATAAGGGAAGTCATAACGATATGATTGGACTGAACACCATGTTCTTCCATCAATTTAAAGTATTGAATCGCTTCTTCGACCATTCCACTCTCAGCAAACCCATTAATTAAGGAACCATAAACAACTTCATTCGGCTTCACCCTTGTTTTTTTCATTGCCTCGTACAGGTCAACTGCATCAGACAACAGGCCAAGCCGCACATAGCTAGCTATCAAAGCAGCATAGGTCTTGCATCCGGGTTTACAGCCCGAATCCAGCATTTCAGCCAATATCCTCTGGGCTTCGTCCACTAAGTCAACCCCAGCAAGCATCTGTATAAGGGAATTGTAAGTGCACTCATCAGGCCAAGTCCCTAGGTTCTTCATCCCTTTGAAGAGAGAAAGTGCTTTCTCATGAAGTTTGGCCTTACCATAAGCTTTGATCATGACATTGTATTCCAAAACATCATTCCTCTGACCTGTCATGTTTCTTTTCCCATAGAACACAGTCTCCGCTTCAACCCACAGTCCCTTTTCAGCATAGACATCAATTACCGCCGCAAGTGTGGTTGAAGAAAGCACACAATCCAACTGGAACCTCTCGAACAGAGCTTTCGCCTGTCCGACTAAACCTTCATTGACATACATCTGCATAATAACAGGAACAGAGTGCTCATCAATGCGAATGCTATTTCTGTCCATCTCGGCCATCACAGCTTCAACTTCTGCAACCAATTTCCGCTGGCACAAGATATGAAGAACAGCTCGGTGAGTTACAGTATCAGGAAAAAGTCCCACTTTCCTAATTTTCCTATAATATTTAAGAGCTGCCTCAATGTCCCCAGCATCGGCATGAAGAGACAAAAGGATGTTATATGTCTTAGTGTCAGGGGATATCCCTTTCTCTTCCATCTTCTTCAATAAAGATTCAGCCTCTGACAAGTGCCCATGAGTTCCACAAGTATGTATCATCGTGTTAAACGTTACAGTATCTATAGGTACTCCAGATTTCAACATCTCCGAGAAGAGATTCGCTGCATCGTTTAAACGACCTGCCTTCCCATACAAATCAATCAGAGTGTTGAAGGTGGAAGTTAACCTTGGCTTTCTCGGAGAAGAGTCTGACCCAGATGCAAAATGCAAACTTTTCTCAATTGGGTTCCTCGCACCAACCTTAAAGAGCTCCATGGACAAGAACTGCTTCAAGTTCACAGGAGATTGAGCTGAACCATTCTTAGGAAAATCATCAATAGAATCCAAATCAAGATCATCAAGATTAACTTTTCCAGCGCACCAACCTTTAAAGAACCTATCAGCACGGTCGAATTCACCGGAATTCTTGAAAACTCGAACAACAGTAGCCATAGTGACTTCATCAGGGAAATGCATTCTCTGACCCATATGTTTAATCCAAAGAAGAGCTTCCTTAACAAGACCAGCTTTACCATAAACATCAACAAGCATACCATAAGTATTGTTAGTAGGCAAAACACCATTATGAGCCATCTCAATCCAACAAAGCCTCAATTCATCCCATTTCCCAGCTCTCCCCAAAGCTCGTAACACAATGTTGTAATGAATCACATTAGGAACATAACTTTGGTGAGATTGGAAAAATCGAAACACACGAAGAACTCTGTCCCAGCGAGTCTGCTCTTTAAGAAGAACAGTTTGTTCTTTAGGGCTTAAATTGAGACAAAGAGAAGCAAGAGTTGTTTCAATATCAGTGGAAGAGTCAAGAGATCGCAAAATGGAAGGGATTACGCCGCCATATTTGCGTTTTCGAGAGCTCGGGTTAGGTTTAGAGCATCGAGCTGGAGAAACTGAAGAAGGAGAAGAAGAGGAGCAATTAAGTTGAAGTCTGAAAGAAACCCTAGAGGAGAAGTTACAGGGAAGAGGAGGAGCTGGAAAAACCCTAACTTTAGAACTCAGAGCTAGACGATGATGTCTGAAATCTCTAGAGGAGTAGTGACTACTTGGCTGAAGCATGTTTCTTCTCTAGGAAACTGCTCAGAGATTATCTCCAAGTCTTTAGGGGTTGAAGAAGAATCATATGCGACTCCGACTAATTTTGCGTTTGCGTTTGCGTTTGAGTTGAGGCTGGGCTTTACAAAAGAATTAGATTGGACTTCAAAAGAATTAGATTGGGCTTTAAAAGAACAAACTATCTCCCCAAAGCTCGTAACACAATTTGTCGTTATTACGAAGGTAAAATAAAACAAATATGTAGATAGTCTCCACAAACCCTAAAGACCAGGAAACCAGAGATAGTTTGTTCTTTGTTGTTATTCTATTTCTCCTTCTTATTATTTTACATTATTTGTTGACTTTTGATTTGGGGGAGAGAGAGACAGAGAAACAAAATGGAAGATGGTGTGACGCCTCCGCTTCTGATCACAAAGAGAGAAACGACGATGATTCGTGTGAAGGAGGAAGTGAAGAAGCAGCTATGGCTTTCTGCACCACTCATTGGTGTTAGCCTTCTTCAATACTCTCTCCAAGTCATCTCCGTCATGTTCGTCGGCCATCTCGGCTCTCTTCCCCTCTCCGCCGCCTCTATCGCCACCTCCTTTGCCTCTGTTACCGGCTTCACCTTCCTCGTACGTTTCTTCATCCCATCTCTCACGATCAAGTCAATAAAAAATACGCGCGAAAATTGTGGCTAAAAACTCACCTTTTCATCATCTAAAACGCTGCATCTCCAATGTCTAACGGGACGTCTGATTTGGATTAGTCGTGTAAGAGATGAAAGAATACATCAAAATCTTTTATAAGTAAAATCTAATGAAACAGTTGGTCATTTTACAAAACAAAGTTACAGAACAGTTTAACAAAAAAAAAACAAAGTTACAGAACACTTACGTTAAAGAGATTTGAATAACAGGTGATTTTGTTGTATTTTAATCTACATGGTATAAATGCTTAATCCAAATACAATGAATTTTATCAAAATACATAACTGAATAACACTGAAATATCGCCTTGACTTTAAAATACATTCAGTTCCATTAGAATATAACATTCAATAACACCACCTTAGTATCCTCTGTTTTGTAACTTTGTTCAAAGTTTGTATGTATGTGAAACAGTTGGGAACAGCGAGTGCATTGGAGACTTTATGTGGCCAAGCGTACGGAGCAAAACTGTACGGAAAATTGGGCATCCAAATGCAGAGAGCAATGTTTGTACTTCTTATACTCTCTGTTCCTCTCTCAATCATTTGGGCTAACACAGAACAGATTCTCGTATTGGTCCATCTAGACAAGTCTATTGCAAGTGTTGCTGGCTCCTACGCTAAATACATGATCCCGAGTCTCTTCGCCTACGGATTACTTCAATGCATCAACAGGTTCTTGCAAGCGCAGAACAATGTGTTCCCTGTCTTTGTCTGCTCTGGTATCACCACTTGTCTTCATTTGCTTCTCTGTTGGTTGTTTGTTTTGAAGACTGGTTTAGGATACAGAGGAGCTGCTCTCGCTATCTCGGTCTCTTACTGGTTCAACGTCATTCTCCTCTCGTGTTATGTCAAGTTTTCGCCTTCTTGCTCGCATAGCTGGACCGGGTTTTCGATGGAGGCTTTTCAAGAACTTTATGATTTCTCTAAAATTGCTTTTCCTTCAGCAGTTATGGTCTGGTAAGTGATGAAACAAAAAATGCTGCATTGTTCTGGTTCTAGTATTCGCATTTAATCAAATTCTGTTTGAAACAGTTTGGAGCTTTGGTCCTTCGAGCTTCTGGTTCTTGCCTCAGGCCTTCTTCCTAATCCGGTTTTAGAAACTTCGGTGCTTTCCATCTGGTAGAATTTGTTATCTTTGTCTTATAGTACTCACTAAGAGTTTGTGTACTTACTTTTTTATATATTTTATCAACCTCATTTCTGCAAATTTTCAGTCTAAATACTTCACTAACAATCTGGCAGATCTCGGTTGGTCTTGGTGGTGCTGCGAGGTCAGTAACAAAAATTTCCAAAGAACATATAAAACAAACCTCATCAAACCAACCTACCTCACTTGTGTGTTTCTTTAACTTGCAGCATAAGAGTCTCGAATGAGTTAGGAGCAGGGAATCCACAAGTGGCAAAACTGGCTGTATATGTCATTGTAGGCATAGCAGTTGCCGAGGGAATTGTGGTGGTAACGGTTTTGTTGTCGATTCGGAAGATCTTAGGTCACGCTTTTAGCAGTGACCCGAAAATCATCGCATATGCCGCATCAATGATACCAATTGTTGCATGTGGAAACTTCCTTGATGGCCTCCAATGTGTTCTCTCAGGTTTTAAAATGACAGAAGATTGGCTTTGGTTCCTGGTTTATATATATGACCGGTTTGAATCCCGGTTAACTGGTTTTGATTTATGGTTGCAGGGGTTGCTAGAGGATGTGGATGGCAGAAAATTGGAGCGTGTGTGAATCTTGGATCATATTATCTCGTAGGAGTTCCATTAGGATTATTACTTGGTTTCCATTTCCACATTGGTGGTCGGGTAATAATCTTAAACTCTCTTTCTCATTGTCAAGTTCAAACCCAACACTAGTTCTATAGAAACTTTATTTGTGGTATCTTCATATTTTAGGGGCTTTGGCTGGGAATCGTAACAGCATTGGCTGTTCAAGTGTTGTGTCTTTCCTTAGTCACTATATTCACAAACTGGGATAAAGAGGTAAAAACCTTTTAACTGATTCTGTTTTATATGTATAAGAACTCTGCCATAATGTGCTTCTGTTTCTTGTTTTGTATGATTAGGCAAAGAAAGCTACGAACAGAGTCGGGTCTTCAGATGACAAAGATGGTGACGTCCAATGACCAATACACGTCTGAGCAAAAAGCAGTTGCTAATGAGCTTAACAATGTTAACGAATAAATGGCTAATGGTGCTTTATTCTTGTATGCCCATATGAACTTACTGGGAATTTCTAACTGATGTGGCCTTACATTGGTCTTTAGAAAACTTTACCATTGTTACATATTTATTGAAATTCCTTAGATGTGTACACATTTTCATCGAGCATTGGTGGAGCCGTCAAAAGACTCGACACTAAAAACACATTTCATATTTGTAATGAGATTAAAATTCATATTTGTAATCCACCAACATGTTCTATGGTAAAAATTCTGGAGTTTAAATTGAAAATGAACAAAGAATGAGTTTGGGATCAAAACTCTCTTCTAAACATAGGCCAAAAACAGATAGATTTTTCTACGATGGGTGTACATGATGATTAGCTAATCATCTGTGCTTTATATTTTATTGTAAACAGAAAGAATGATTCACACTATTCATCACTAGTTGTAATATGACAAATTTCAGGAACAAACCAGTAAGAGCCTGTAACTAGAGATCCTATAGGCTATAGGAACTGAAGAACGACGTCAAGAAGAAGCCTGTTACGCTATATCCTACAGGAACTCGAGATCAAGTTTCCTCTTCAGATGAGATCTATCCGCGCTGCAAAACCAAAAATCAAGAATCTATCAAAAGTTTTGATCTTTAAAGCTGACCAAGAACTTACTGCAAAAGGATTGAAACCAATTTTTTTACCTGGTGATGGTTGGTCGGTTAGGAGGCCGCTCGGCTAGGATGGTGAAATCTAAAGACATCGGTGCTTGTCCATCATGGCTAGCTTGTCTCATGACATCAACACTCTGGTCCTTGAAACCATTAGCAGACTTTCCTCGGTCAGGCATCACTCTTCTAAGCTTATGTGCTGGTGACAACACTTTAATGGCTTCGTGTTTACTGTCAGATGACTTAGCGTCCTGCTTGCGAACTGGTCTTGGGAGCTTTAAAGGGTCAGTAGGCGAAGGTGCAGATGTGAAGTACCTTCAAAAAGAAATCAAAGGTTTGAGAAAAAAAAAACTAAATAACCGGTTCTTCTGCATCCTACATAGGAAATATTTGTAGGTACCTGTGTTGTAGAGCCTGCTGAATCGTTATTCTAGACTTGGGGTCATAGGTAAACATCTTTGACAACAAATCTAAAGCATCCTCACTAACCGTTGGGAGTAAAGAACGTAAAGCAGGCGCAGGGACAAATTGATACTCTACATAATCAGGAAGGCAGATCATATCGGGCCATTGATCTACTTTTGGAGTCCCAAAGGCAGCAAATATTTTGCTTAATTGATCAATATCACTGTTTCCCTGCAATGGAATAAGTAAGCTAGAGAAACAAATAAACAGACTAATCAAATCACGACACAAAGACAATGGAGTTTCACCTGAAGAAATGGTCTGCGTAATAGAAGTTCAGCAAAAATGCAGCCAGCAGCCCAAACATCAACTGCACCACCATATTGTTTTGCACCAAACAAAAGTTCAGGTGCTCTATACCATCTAGCAAAAACCTATGCAGTTGCTGGAGAACATCAAGATACGAAGATAACGGAATAGCTTACATAAATAGCATTGCCACACAAAAAAGAGAGTACCTGGTGGGTAAACTTACGACCAGGGCTACCAAATATACGAGCTAACCCAAAATCTGCAAGTTTCAGTTGTCCATTGGGTCCTATTAACAAGTTGTTTGGCTTCATATCTCTGAAACAAATGCGAATGACCATCCGTAAGTTTAAACCGAAACAAACCTTATTAGAGAGAGAACAAGTTGTGCTTCTAATGTTAGTACCTGTGCAAAACCCATTTGTCATGGCAATATTCAAGACCTTTCAATATCATTTGGAGGTAAGATTTGACATCACCGGGCGAAAGAAACAGATTAGGATCGCGAATAACTGCTTCGAGATCAGTCTCCATGAACTCAAACACAATGTGCAAGTTCTCCTTGTGAGGAAATGCATCAATCAACTCAATTATATGTGGATGCTTAAGCTCTTTAAGTAATTTGATTTCTCTCAGAGCTGTTACATTCACACCTTCTTTCTCTTTACCAAGTCTTATTTTCTTGATCGCTACAGTTTCTCCATTCTACAAATTGCCACAACAAAACAATCAGCTTCCTTAGATCCAAACTGAAACAAAAGCTACAAACTTTAAATTCCATTACGAAACCAAAAATGCAAACTTTGACTTCTAAGAACACATATTAGTATAAAGATCGAAGCTTTAGATAAGAGTAAAGACCTTAGAGCTATCAGATTCAACAAAATTGTTCCTAGGAAGAGACACCTCAAAAGGCACACACGAGAGGAGAAATTCAGAATCAGCGACAGAATCTAAAACCCTAGTTTTGATGGGATCGACATAAATTATGAAGAATTGAGAGAGGAATCATCACCTTAGTATCAGTAGCCTTGAAGACGACTCCATAAGTACCTTGTCCAAGAACCTCACGCTTCAGATACCTATCGGCAACTTTCTTTGGCTGATCCATCTCCGGAATTCACTAATCAGATAATGATCGAAATGGATCTTTGTTAATTGTTATCGTTAACGTTGAGGTTTCTTATGCTCTGGAGAAAAAGTAGCCGTTAGAGCAATTACAGAAGAAATCGACATTTTTAGGGGAAAATATTGAAAAGTAAACGAAAAAGGAAAGAGACGCTCTAAAGCTAGAAATAAAAAGAAGCTGGAACCAGCGTCGCACGTACCGATGTCGTTTTGGTTTAATAACCAAAATGGGCAAAAATGTTCCGGTTTACTCAACATTGACTCGTCAATTATTATTCGGTTTAAAATTTGATAAGTTGGTCATATCTCTGAAAACACATAACACTGTCACTGTGCTCAAAAGTATGTTAAACCAAAATAAAATAAAATTATTATGCTGAAGTGTTAATTAATTTATGGATAGTAATGCCATAACTTACTTGTTGATTTTCTACTTTTATCTTAAACAAATTTGAAAGATATATCCTATAAAAATCGAAAATAAAAATAAAAATCCAAGCATTAGATTCGACTCTATCTAATATTCTGATACCCAAATTTGGACACCTAAAGTTTTAAGAGAAATATACATTTTACTTTTTCTGTTAAATAAATTTAATTTCAATGTTAACAGACTAAATATCAGAAAAATCATCGACAAAAAAAATCAACAAAGAAAAAAAAACATATTATTAACTTATTTGAACAATTTTTAAAAAAATATTCTAATGGTTACTAACTACAGTCGGTAAACAACAACTAGTATTGTTCTATACTAGTTGCTTTCGTTCAATGTTCTTTACTCTCTACAACAACTAGACGTTCTATTCTTACTAGCTACAGTCTGATTTCTTGACTAGAAATATCGTTCTGAATCCAAAAATCGATGCAAAATGATCTAGTGATAATTCTCTTTTGGTAATAATGTTATAATACTCTTTTTTATATATCAAGACAAAAATAGTCATTATAATGTAAGAAGTGAAAAGAAAAAAACAGCAAACCCATTGGTCTTAAATTTACATGGATTGATGAATCAATATCCCTCAATTCTTTCATAGAGTACGAAATTTGAAGAATACTTTAGTAGCTATTATTTGATTATATGGGTACTTTTGCTTTATCCAATATATTTATTATTTCACATGTCACACCATTTTAATTTGCTTAAAACATTCATAGTTTCTCAACTACTAGTGTTTGTTGTTGGTTTGTTTAAGAGATGATTGTGAAATATTAACAATTTTAGCTATTCATGAAGAAAAATGTTATACGACTTAAAGTCGTCGTTTTCTTCCAAAAATACCAGGTTAATTAGTTTTCACTCTAATACTTGCAACATTTGAACATTGCCTAAACATATCTTAGAAATTAAAAGTTTTTTCAAGAATTTGAAAAGATAGATTCTTGAACCATTCAGATGATGTAAAGTCATTTCAATGCTTTATGATTTCTGAAATTTTGTGGTTTAGAAAGAACATTAATGATAAATGATTATGGATTTTAGTATTTTACACATTTTTTTTGGTAGGCAATATTTTACACATTGGGCTTACCATTTACTACTTATTCTCATCTTTTGATACGAGATATTTGAGTGATAGAGAAACATTTATTCTTGTTAAAGTATTTGTTGCATCTACAAGTTGCCAAATTCAACTTGCACATATTTTCCACAGCATGGACGGAGAACATTACCAAATTAACTTTCGTTTCATGAAGCGTGGAATCAAGTCCAAATATAAGTCCAAATAGTTCCGGTGAAGGTTAGACAAGGGACCTGTTAACTTCTGGGCCCATATCTAAGAAAGAGATGCAGCCCAATTATTGAAGTTTGCACAAATAATTGGCTAATCAGTCCACTTTTTTTTAGGTAACCAAAGAAAACAAACTAGGCCTAACATTTGAATATGAACCAGAAAAAGAAAAGTTTATAGGATTCTTCGGAATTTGCAGGGCCAAGTATTAGAGCATGATTATCAAGGGTTTTTTAATAATGGCTCTTAGGAATAATGGCTCTTAACTAAGGCACGTTGCTTAGTATTTTACATGCTTTGTCATTAATTTTTGATCTAAGATTTTGTTAAGAACTCTTTAAGAGTCCATCCTTAATGGTGGTCTTATTTGCTTGTGAACATTTTCATTATACAAATTTTATTTAAACAACTCGGAAAAAAAAAATTACACGGTGGATAAAAAAGGCACTCTAAAATAAGCCATTGAATTGTGAAAGAGACGAGACTCGCGGGGGTAATAAGACAAGTTCGTTGAAATAAATCTAGCCATAGATTCTCCTCAGACAGAGTAATAATTACCTGCTTTCGTGCCCACATCATCAGACTTAATCCTGACCATACATCAACCTATTTCACTATTTCGTGTTGCAATTTCTAATTGTTAGGGTTAACAGTTTTTTAAGAGTTAGGTCACCAAACGGAAACACTTGTACATTTTCATAAAGAATGGTCGGCCAAATTCATTTTCAAAGTTACATCTTAAAAATGTAGTGGACTAGTAGTTGGCAGGAATATTAATAATTGTTATTTTTATTATCTACCAAAAAAAAAAGAAAAGAGAGAAGCACAAAAGCCGAGAAGGACGCATGTGACGCGTAGGGAATCTAACACTAAACAATGTCAGACCCTTCCCATGTCTTTTCAGATGCACCCACCTGTTTATTTTTTCATTTTTTTTTTCTTCAATCACGAATATCTATCTAAACCACTATAATTACGACTCTCTATCTACCACTTCTTCCAAAAAATGACGTGTCCTCTTCTCTCTCTCTCGTTCCTTCTCTCTAAGTATGTTTAGGGTTAATTATTAGGATTCTTCATCTCTGTCTTCAGTCTTTAAAGCTTCTTCGATAGCTTAAATTGTGTAGAGATTTACCTCTTTTGGTGTTTTTAGTATATATATTATGTACATGATCGAATTTCTCTCTATCCAAGTTCTCATCAAACCTTTCTCATGTTTTGAAGAGTTAAAGGTCTTTATAGTTTGCTTAGGTCAGATCCATAACATATTTGACAAGTATCTTTGTCTCTCGATAGATCTTGGTCTGACCAACCAAAATGATTTTCTTGAGAAAAAAAAGATGAAAGTAGAGCTCCTTGAAGTTCAAACGAGAGTTTAGCAGGGTAAAGAAAAGCTGCTAAGCTATGGATCCCATAAGCCCTAATCCTTATAAAGAAAAAAAGGATTTGGTTATATGGCTTGCATATCTCAGGAGCTTTAACTTGCCCTTTAATTGCTTTTACTCTTCTTTGGATTGAAGGGAGCTCTACATCTTCTTTCACTTTCTCTATTTTTCTTTCTTTATTTGGATTGAAAGATCTTTAGTTTTCCGTTTTAGTTGATTATATAATTGGTGATTGTTTGGATCTTGAAGTTGAAGCAATGTTTAGTGTGGTTGAATAGTCTGTTTTACTTGTAAGAAACTAGGGTTTATGCAACTGCCTGGGTAAATGAGAAGTTCCTTATTTATTTGGTAACTTCATAAATTTTGCATTCTTAATTTGTTGCCAAATGCATTGACTTTCTTTAATTGATTATTCTCATATCTAATCTTAACAATTACTTCTACATTTACAGTCCTTTAATTATTGCGAAATTAGATTTCTTCCATATATATAAAGATAATTAATGATCGGATACCGAAAATTAGATTGAATCAGAGTCAAAGATATTCAAGTGGTTTTATAGGATTTATTTGTCAACCTGTTATATTACTAGCTATGTCTTTTTTACACCATGTAGAGAATAAAACTTGAAGAAACTTTAGAACTAGTAGAATGATTTAGTTATTAAATAAGTTATAAAAATAATTTATCAAACAAATGATAATCCGTAGGTTGTAAGGCGAGTTAGCCAAAAGATTTGAACTGAACATTTTAACCTAACAAAATTTAAATTTATCGAAGTGGAGACGTAGCTAAATTTTGTTATAATTGGATGGTTGAAAAATTTTTATGCAGAAAAACTGGAATCGAACCCTAACTATATAATTTCTTTTAACTAATTCAAATGAATCAAATTTCACTTATATTTTAATCTCATGTATATGTACGGCTTACTAGAAATTTGCAAAATAATTACTTTTTAACAAAAACTCGAACAAGTGAGAACTTTGCATCCAGCCCAAAAGAAATTGAGAGAAAATTATGTGCTAGTTTAATCTTACGCCAAAAAAATCGGAAAAGACGACGATTTGATCGCAAAAGCAAAATTCTGAAAACTTAGATCACCATGTCGATCTGGTCCAACAGTAGATCAGTAACTTTATTTTTATTTCTCAGGTAGAGAACAAATGCTTGAAACAAGATTCTTAGCTCAGTTCTTGTTTTGTTTAAAAATGGGAAAACAAAACTGCTAGGTTCAAAAATGATTGTGATTCTTGGATTGGCCTTCTTTTGTGATAGGTTCCTTGCTAAGAACTATAGCATTAATGTAACACTTTATATAAAGTAATAAGATAACAAAAAATTATAACATTCATCAACCAGCCTTTAAATGTTTTAGTCTATGATTTCAGCAGACTAAGATTATCTTTTTTTTTTTTTTTTTTTTTTTTTAGACTAAGATTATCTTGTCTTGTTGACACATAGTATGTCTTCAAACAAATTGCCAACATGTTGTCTGTGTAGAAACTTATTTGGCTGGTCTTGCTTTCTTTGCTAAACTAGATGTAGACATTTATCGTTATTTGATTTTACTTTCGAAGGTTTCAAACTTTGTACTCGTTGTTATGACTGTCATGGACAAAAAAAGGTTGTCAATCTTTCTCTTACGATAGAAAAGGTTTGTTGAAGATATGGACCTGTATATCAAAATATTCATTAACAAAAGGTCAAATCTAGCCCATGCAATAGGCCCAAATCAAGGCCTAATAATGTCAACCCTAATCGTTTCTTAAATTTCCCACCATATTAATGATTATTTTTAATGAATTTGAAAATGATCAACTAAGCCTTCTTTTGGGCCCTTGGCACACTGTTATGTTTGGGTTAGAGCTACTTAGAGCACCCACAGTGGTGCATGTGGGTGGGTGTGTGTT